GAGAATTATTCTTCTACCACTCATTAACAATAGTCACAGCTACCTCTGGCACTTTCTGTGTACACTGAGGGCCTTTTATGCTCTGCATCCTCTGAGTGATTACTGTTCCGGAAGAGGCTGGGACCTGCACATCTGCAGCTCCCCTGCAGGCCGCTATGTCAGTTCTCTCTGCACGATCTGCAATGGTCACCTAACTGAAACAGAACAGATATTCCTGGTTCTAGCAGGGAGAACAATAAATCCTTCCTCCAGCAGTCAGCATGACTGTGCTTCCCACTCTGGGTGACTGAGCCTGTTGTCTCTACAGTGTAAACTGCAATTGGCTGGAGAGCACAGAGAATCTCCTTAATCGGTGATGCTCTTTATCATTTATGCTGTTTAAAAGAAAAGTTTCCCAACTTTTCTGGGTGATTCAACAACGATATGGTCAGCAGGCTGGCATGACATCAGATTGGTGCCATGAACATCAATCTGTTCCAGACTTCCCCCTAAAGGTCAAAGGAATGAGGCGTGAATAGATAAACAGGCTCATCAATAATAATATCTTTTATTTTCCAGACTGCTGAGCCGTAAGTTAGATTGTTAGCACATTGTGATGTGTGGATGCTGGCAGGTTTTAATACCCATAAAGACAGCTGTATCTGCAACATGGGAAACTTAAATTTTAGTGTAAATATTTGAGGGATGAATACTGAAATGACAGATTCCATAGTGCTTCCACCATAATAAGCACTGAGTGCCCTAACCAAACTAGCACAAACAGGGTTTGGGTCCCAGCTGGTCTCTTATTTCATCGCTGAAGAAAAGTAGAACCCAGTCCTGATGCTCTGCAGAAATTTGACAAAAAAGTTGTTGCCTGGGGAGAGTGCTTGTGCATGTGCAGTGCTACAATAATGAGTGGTCTGCACAATCTCGGGGATTTGTGCTTGCTTTGAATGCTCAGATCTGTGTGAACTCATCAGCATCTCCCTGCCACTGCCCTTGACTTCATCAGCGACTGCATCATTTGCATTTTAATGCAGAGGTTCTCAGTAGAGTTTGCCTAAGCAGCACATTTGTGAAAATGTGTTAAATTACTCTCTTTTCTTGGTTATTCCAAAGTCTCAGAGAGAACCATAAAGTAAGATTTCTGGCTGAATATCAGGAAACACACAAGTTCTTTTTTTCCAGTCATGTAAGGCTCAGTGCTTTCCACATTCTCTGTTTGCAGGGGTCTGTGTTGTGTGAATAACCACAAAGCTATTCAAACACAAGCGATTTATTGCTCTGTAATGATATAATTTGTTTTCTAAAACAACCAGAAAGCTAACTCAAGCTTCTTTTCCTATAGTATTTCATTATGATCAAGATTTCTCCCCTAAACCACAGAAATTAAACTATTTGTATATTCTTCACATTTCCCAGCTCATATTTTGCTAAAATAAACAAACATATTTATAAATCTAATACAAAAAAAACTGTTAAAGCCACTTTTACAACCTAAATATTTCTGTCACTTGAGACCCAAATTTCTTTTCTCATTGCCTCATCTACATTTTCCCTTCAAAGGCTGTTGTTTTGTATTCAGCACCACATGCTCAGCTATTGTTTCCCCTATCACTCTGCTATCAGGGGTTCTGCAGGTTGACAGCTATTACCGTGGGCCAAGAGAAAATGAAGTCAGCACAGTTACAGGTGCTTTTTCTGCGACTGGCAGGCGTGATATCATCCTAATCAGTTATCATTCAGTGGTCTTCTCACTTCGTTTCCAGGCTTGATTTAAGAGACATTTCGAAAGCACAAAATCAGCATGTGTGACATTCTGTTCTTTATCTATTCCAGTATAGAATTCGTTTTAAAAATTGCATATTGCTGAGGCTACCTGTGATTCATTAAATTAATGTTCTGCTCCTGGCAAATGACCTGTGTCCTATGAACGGATGTAAAACAAGAGGAGGTTAGACTTGAAAATTTCTTTCTTTTTTAAGTTACACTGGAAAGATAAAATTTGTGTATGAAATGTGATTAATATACTACCCTGTACTGAAAGGTTTTATTCTAATGTCACTTAATAAAGAAACATGTCAACAGGGAGTTACTCCTTCTGAAAAAAATAGCAAAGAAAAACTATACAACCCCCCTGACCTTGTAGCTAAAAAAGCAACAGATCTTCTAATGAAATGGGTTTCATCTGCAGAAAATTGAACATCTTAATGAAGAAAAAAGAGACATTCCTCAAAGCAAGAAAAGCTGGAAAAACAGAGGTGTTTACTCCGTTATTTATTTTACAGCTCATTTGATCTGGCTTCCAGCTCAAAGCAGAGTCCTCCTTTGCAATGTACCAGGAATTTCAGTGCCTAATTTCCTCTTCTTATCACAGATCAAATCATCACAGAAAACTCTAGCACCCCAAACATATCTAAGAAAAGAATGATCAGAACCTTCCAGTCCATGTCCCCAGGCAATGCAGGCTGAGACAAACAAGAGACCCTCCTCTTCTTCCTTGCTGCTGCCAGGGCCCTGGTGGTACCCAGGAGTCCTGACTGCCCTGCCCAGGGACCCAGGACCCCCCAGCCCCTCTGCCCCTGCCCCAGGGCTCCATTTCAGCTTCAGCAGATGATGTTCAGGAATGTCTCAAGGGAGAGCTGGGCCTCAGCTGGGTCCTGGCACTCAGTCTGGGTGAGATTACATCAGCTAGGAAACACAAAGAAGGAGCATGGTCCCACGGGCTGGACCTTGACCTGTGAGCTTTGCCTTCAGATGCAGTGAAGGGCTTCAGTCTGTTCCATTTATCAGACTGGCCTCAGGACCCTCAGGGACTGTTTCTCTTGGAATATTTCTTCAGGACACTAAAGGAAGTGAAGAGCAAATATTACTGAGTGTGTGGCAGTCAGGCAGCTGTCATCAGGACTCAGTGACTTTCAAGACAACAGTGAAACACCTCACAAACCTCAATTCTGAGGTCTCACTTCTGGGCGGAGAGCATTAGCTTAATAAAATAAATGGAATGCCTCTTGCTCTTCAGGATTCATCAGCACATGTCGTTTCCTTGACTTCATTTTTGGCACAGTTGTCAATATGCTGTTCTGTATCCCTCATGTAGACTCCAGGTTGCAGTACTTGGCTGTATTTAAGGTGGGAACCAAACAGCACCACAGATCATTGCTTTGTCATGGAATTGGTCTACCAGGAACATACATGAAAATCCACAAGCTCACTATGGAAAAGAGAAACTAAAGGAAAGAAAACATGTATTTCTGGTATTTCATAGTTGCTCTTATCAAATGCCCTTCCAAATATGTAAGAAAAACAATCAACTTCTGCTGTGATGCTCCCTGGAAAACAGTTCAGAAATCAGCACAGTTTGCACATTTTAAAGCAAAGTACAATTTTGTAGGAGCTTGTCTATTAAACACTCAAGTGCTTGTCACCATTCTCCTACAAAACCACTTGTTCTCTAATCATTGTACTATGAGAAAGTTGGTATTTGAGAATGAAGCATTGCAGAGACACAAAGGCTGGATGTACTTTATTCATCAGTATGATTTATTTTACTATTATTCTGCATTTGTTGAGAATTAATCCTAAACTAGGTGCTGCTTGCTACAGCTCTTAACCTACAGAAATCAATGTGTTATAACAGTATTTACTTGCCTAAAAACTTCAGAGTTTTGCTGTTTGTTCCAAGATATGTCTGCTATATTTGGGTGAAAGAGAGCATAGAGAGAATGTCTATGTGACAGATTTTTTAATTAATTCACCTTTTCAGCCATACAAATAAGAAATCAGTACTGGTGTAAACTACATTTTCATATATTTACCATAAATTTAGTGCCTGCTATCAGTTTTCCTCTTTTCTTCTCAACCCAAGTCAAACCTTTACAAAATTTAGACCCTGTTTTATCTATTTCATCTGGTAGATACAAATAGTGAAAGGGAAAAAACATGAGGCAAATGCCATTCTGGGGACATATGTAGTCATTTAATTATGTATTCTTTCTTACTATTACTAAGGTAAGAACTGATAGGGGCATGCTAAGCTGACGACTTTCACAATGCCTGTTGTTCTTGTTTAAGACTCGTCTAACTTTTTTAAGACCTCTAGCAAAAGCAACAGCTTTTGATTCTTTAAACTTCTGAATTGTTGTTTCACTACTCCATTTCTGACCTAGCAAATTGAAAAAGCATTGAGACTTACACCTTGCTTAGCACAGATGTTAATTCATCATAACATTTTTACAAAGGGTCTGTGAAAGTTATGTTTTGGGAAGATTTTTCAAAGATTAGAATTCAATAATACTATAGTGAAATCTACAGTTGGAGGCAGTAAACAACAGATTTAAAATGCAGCTAAGTATGTATGACTGAGCCATATTCTCTTTTTGTCTTACAGCAAATACAGAAATAAAGGTAAATACAGATAAGGTAATTCAGATTATGCAGGTAAATTGATTAAAATGAGGGTATTCTCCATCAGTCTCACAACACAGTCACTGGCACCATAAAGAGGAATAAGGAGTGCCAACCCTTTCTGTCATTGTGTAAATCACTTTGAGGGAATTAATTTCCTTGAACTTCAGACAAACTGCCTAGCTCTTAAAAGGCTAAAGTAGTCACGCAGGCACCTTTAAGAGGGGATAAAAATGACCATGTTCAAAGGCAATTACCCATTTTCAAAGCCAGGTATGCAATGCTGTAGTTTTACAATCAGTTTAAACCAGATTAAGCTGTCAGGGTTCTAATTCTCCCTTGTGTCAGCACAAGCATTTACCTTCTGGTTAAAACTAAACAGTGGATTTTTTGTGATGTTAGTTTTAGGCAAGATCAATTCACCAACTTTGTTCACTATCCAGCTACACAAAGCTTTCCCAGGAGGGAAAAGATGGCAGGGAGGTGAAAGGGAGGCTATAGAAACACTTCTCTTGGCATCAGTGCCATATGCTGCTTCTGCGAATTGATTGTGAAGTTACAGCATTAGAGGCAAAAGGTTGCTGTCTCTATTGATTACAGATGGGACCTCACTGGCTGACCTGGGCTACAGGGCAGTAGAAAACACCCTAAAGATATGTGTGTAAAGTAGTTGAAAAGACCAACTTGAAGGCATTACATTTTTCATGTAAAATATATATTTCTTAATGAAATGGAAAAATATTTTCTTTTTTTCTTTTCATCTTGGAACACCTCCACACACTTTTATGTGTGCATAATACTAAAGAGGGTAGTTTGTTAGAGAACAAAACAAATTCATTTTCAGAATACTACATGAACACATATTGTACTTATATTTTAATTTAACTAGGCACTAGGGAACTAAATACACAGTATAAGTCGAATAGAAATATGGGAGAATTAGACCCACAATATATCTTGAGTACAGTTTCTATCAAAGGCTGAAGTCCTTTGGGATTCATATAGATTGATAAAAAAATTAAAAAGGAAAAAACCAATAAACTCTTATGGAAACCATGTTCTGCTGCCAGAAGGGGTTATATTATTCTCAGTACTACATATCTCTCAGAATGAAAAGTGGGCACAAAAAAAAAGAAAAAAAAAAGGGGAAGACGCAGCATGAGGGAAGGGGAGGAAAACAAGCTAACATTTGTTTTTATATTTTACAATGTTAGTGATTTGAAAGGAATCATTTGATGCAACAAATCGGTCTTTCATCTTTTATCCCACCAAAAAGTGAAAAAACTCAGACCAGTAACATAATTTTTTTAGAAGAGAGTAACAGATTAGAAGCTTCCACATAGTTTGGAAATGACATTTAGAAACATTTTCCAAAGACAGAGGATGGCGTTTGTGAGACTGACTTTCTTCTTTGCCCTCTAAAACCTAGCAGTAAATTTCCTCTGCCCATGACAAATAGTCTACCCTTAAGTGCAGTAGACCTGATCCAGACCCAGGGACAAAATTTCTCCACCGTTTAAGGGACTGATAACTGACTGCAGGAGCTGTTTGCTTCAGAAGTATTTTCTGTTGAATTTTGTTATTATTTGTAATTTAGCTACAATTTAAAGGGACTAAATCTACTATGACAAACTCCTGTTCCATGCATGGAATTATGGTTTCCATGGAACATTGTCTTCAATATACTAGATCTCTAGTGAAATTCAAATTTGCTACACATGTAAAAGTAAAAGATTCCTGAGCTCATATCTTAAATTCAATTTATCTGGAAGGCATAGATAAAGGCAAGCAGTTAGCTGGGCTAGTAGAAAGGTACTGAAAGATACAACAGCAGAGACAGTAGTGTTCTTTTCCTGATTAGAACTTGATTTTTAAATTATCCTAAATCATGAACTTCAGGTGGCTGTCAGATATGAGGTTCATTGAACTAGCTTGGATAAGATCTAAGTTAATTTTTATTTTTAGTCCATTTGCCCCATGCTGTAGTTGATCCTCTTCTGGTTGTAGGTACCACCCTTCTCCATGATCTGTGGTTCTGCCCCTCAGCTCTGCTCTGGTGAGACCCCACCTGCAGCGCTGCATCAGCTCTGGGGTGCCCAGGACAGGAAGGACCTGTTGGAGGAAGTCCAGAGGAGGCCAAGAAGATGATCAGAGGGATGGAGCACGTCTCCTATGAGGACAGGATGAGAGAATTGGGATTGTTCAGCCTGGAACAAAGAAGGCTTTTGTGCTTTTTCAGTGCCTGAAGGGTACTTGAAGGGAAACTGGGGCAAGACTATCTACAAGAGCATGTAGTGACAGGACAAGATGGAAAGAGTTCAACTTGAAGGAGAATATGACTGAAAAGATCCCTTTTGCTGCTTTTTGCATCCCTCACCCCCTGCCCAGAACAATTTTCATTAGATAGGAGAGACACTATGACTGTTTTTGATTGCAATTTTACATTCTGCTCTGTTCATAAATGCAAAATATAGAGGATATCAAGCACCAGTGAAAATTCATATTTTTTGAGCTGAATGAGAAATGATGAAAGCTGAAATACTCCCTTTTAAACAGTAGCTGGAGCAACTACTGGTAAAGGGGACTGTGCACATCCAAAGTGTGATGCTGTGATTAATTATCTTACTCACAAGAGGAAGAAAACAACTATTATCATGGTAAAATAAGATATTATTCAGTGGGAAATTATATCAACAGAAGCTTCAGGAAAAGAAAAGAAAGCTTTTGTATGGTCTTTGGCATGAAAACAAAACAAAATCTGGATCAAGTTATAGTTGATATAAACATTAGAATCTGAGGTTTTTATGACATCATTTATGGAATTTTAATTAGTACAGAGACTCATGAAGCTGTCAGACTACAGGGACTGAAGCAGAAAATTAGGATTATGAAACTGTAATGCATACAACTCTGTTTTATGTCATCTATTTTGAATGCTATGCCTTTCCTTTATATGTCAAAATAATACTATAAAATTAATGTTTCATTGCTTCTATTGATAATCTTTCTTTTCCCAGTGGTGCTTTGGTTTCCTAAATGTTAATTTAGAGTGCAATGCATCCAACACATAAAAGAAAAATATATTTTAAAGATGTTGAATTATCTAATGTTATTAGATTAAAAAAAAAATATTATTGTAAACGGATATTATGCAATTTGTTTTACCCTTCAGAACCATTTTGCACTGGAATGTCTGGAAGACACTAAGATAACCTCTGTGACTTTAAAAAGCAGGTGGAAAACAACTCAAAAAGTCAGATCAAACTTTCATTTATGTTAATGTGAATTGAGCCTACAATGAAACAATTAGCAATGGAAAAAAATAAAGCCCTGAGGAATAAAATCAAATACCGACATAAGTTCAAGTAACTAATGAGATCAAATACTGATTTTTTTTTCTTATTTTCTTTCTAAATGGAGGATGTTCAGTCTGTGTGGTATCTCAGGCCCTCAAATAGAAACAGAGCCTGACATTAAAATGTATTTTTCCTGAAGAGCAGTGCTATCTCCTTTTCAAAGAAGGAAACTACACAGTATTTTGTCTTCTCAAGTTCAAAAGTAAATTTGAGGTTGAGGATGTGCCTGAATAGAAACCAAGGTCTTCTGATCTAATCCTTAGTAAAATGTAATCTTGACAGAACAGGTGGCCTCTCCCCTCATCAATCAAGCTGTATTGTCTTCTGGCAGAATTTCCCAAAGATACCTAAGTAAGGATAGATACCCTTATCTATCCTTGTCTTATGGAAATGCACACTTATTCATGAGAAGATACTAAATTACACCAGTCTACCTGACTGTAAGTAAGCCAGAAATACAGTTTATTACTTGTCTTTTAATTACAGTTACTCTGCTCCTTTTTATGTCAGAAAAACCAAATGTACCTTATTGCTCTTTAGATAATTCTCCAATGCCAACTCGATGGTTGTGGGAAACAACAGGCAAATTAATTTTCTTTTCTGTCTTATAAATCTATGAACCTAGGAAAGAAAAATCCAGTTTTATAATGGCATATACAGTCTCTAAAGTAAAAGAAGATGGGAATGCAATTTGAATCTAAATTAGTCAACTAGCATGATGTAGTTAACCAGCCTGAATATTTGTCTGGTGTAAGAAAATTAAAGACAATATTAAGTAATAAAAGATGAAAAAAAAAGATAAATAACTATAAATAAAAAAGTATGTGGGGATTTTCTAAAAGAAAATTCAAAGGCAAAAACATAAAACACACAATGAAGGGAAAATAAACAAAAGACTTGAATCATGTGACATAGCACCCTGAAATTAGAGCCACATGTGATAAATGGATAGAACAAATGTAAGTTAAAGAAACACTGTTAAATAAGAGTTTGGATAGATGTGAAATTTTGTCTTACACCTAAAAAAAGAGGACAGAGTGGAACAGAAGGACAAGAAAGGGTGAATATAGAAATTACAGGTCCAAAGTTCTGCTTTTACTTGGTTAGTGTTACATAGTGTTAGATTGCAACAGAATAGAACAGCACACATCACTATCATATGAACACACTTTACCAGCATAGAAGAGAAAAATATTCAAAGGCACACAGCTTGAATGTAGATATACACAAAGCCAAAAGCCAGCAACAATAGAATTATGGACAGGAAAAAAAATAGTTTAGTTATTTTCAGTATCTGTTTCATTTATTGCCAATTACAGGGATAATATAAGGAGCAGAGGACTTCTTTTTGAAATTAGATGATGTAGCTTTTTTTTGAGAGCATGCTTTCATCTATTTCTATCCAGTAAACAAGACAGCTGAAGCATCATTTGAAATAAGTGACCAAAATATGGATGGAGGTGGTATTCACTGAATAGGAATTATAATAAACAACTTTAATAATTATGAACAAACATAAAAGAAAGGACCTGGAGCAAATAAGCAAAAACCTGAAGCTGCAAATTGGGAAAACCTGAAACTGAAAATTACAAAAACTGTGGAAGTCACAAGAGTTTTCTCAGTGATTCCAAATGTCATATGTAATTAACTCAGGAAAATGCCCTGTTTTACAAAAGAAAAATTCAAAGAGGGAAAGATTTTTAGACATCTGAGCTAAATAAAAGTAGAGGAAAGTACTGTGGTAGAATAGGAAAGGAAAAGTACAAGACTGAATGCAGATTAAACACAGATATGATAACTCATATACAGAACAATAACAATGAGTTCTCAGTTCTTTTGAAGACAGATCATGAAGGTACAGACACTTAAAAGAAAGCGATAGTGCTATTTATAATGCCATGTAAATAGCATTCACAATTCACAGGACAGAGAGCAGGAGATGCTAAAAAAGGCAAAGGAGCATACTGTGAATTCAGACAGACATCTTGAAATGAACCATGTCAGAAGCAATAGAAATATTTCAGGTCTGGTTTGCTTTTATTCTCCAATATGACAATAAAAGGAAAAGCTTAGATTTTCAGAGATGGGAGAGAGCAACAAGGACTGTCAAGATGATAACGTCTCTTTAAAAATCTTTACTGTATCTTCTGCTTTTGAGTATGCTCTGGTTATGTTTCGGAGGTAATATGTACATTATGTAAATGAATGCTTGAATCTGCATGTTCAAAGGATGAGAATGCCTTAAAAGACAAAACACCACTCCCATTTGTATAATTGCTTTATCTCTGCCACAGATACTTAACATCTGTTCTTGCTAACACTTGTGAAGTTGTCTGGGAGCTTTGACTCAGCTCATTAGCAGGTTTACTGCAGCCAAGAAGTCAATGGACCACAGAGCAAACTGTCTTTTTCAGAGGCGAAAGGGAAACAGGCATGTGAGAATGGACTATTGCATACACCACTAGAAAGGTTCACAGTATCGCTGCCCTATAACACCTGCGCTACTTGTCAACGTAGTAATGATGTATTAGTGTGTTAATGAGGACCAAACAGAGATAACAGGACTCATGTGCACCATCAGAGTACCTGTATAAACTCAACCCTGGCACTGAACTAGGACAACAGAAATAATCATCCAAATTTTAACCTATCTGTGCAGTGGACCCCAGCATGTATTTATTGTGTCTGTTCTATCTAGTAGGAAGTTGTTACACATATATAGGCTGACAGGCAATAGCCTTTTTCTAGTTTTTAGGGAGAAAAAAGGTCTTGATCTTAAAATTAGTTTAATAACATATATTTTTATTTCATGCAGAAAGAACTTGTAGCACTTCAGCTAAGCTGTTCCTGGACTTTATGGTCCAGCCAGGGCTGAAGGCATATTTGCAGATAATACCATGTGAGTGATATTAAAACATCTAGAGGGAAAGGACATAGCAGAGAAGATCACAGTATCACTTCTTGTCAGCACTTGCTGGAGATCTATATCATATTAGGTATCCTAATCAGGCTGAAGCAAATTTCATTGCAGTGTGTTCTATATATTCTTGTCTTTTACTATACTGTTAATACTATACATATTTTTTACTCAAGTGGTCACAACCAGTAACTCCTCTCTTTTGTCTTGAAACTTTGGCCATGAATTTTTGTAATTTAAAATCACTGGACATCTATTTTCATACTGGAAATAAAAACTTTAATTATTGATAATATGGGAACCAGAATATTAAAGTATAATTTTCAATACTTTCAGCATTAAGCTAAAAGTATGGTCTAATATTTTACACATATCTTTTTCTTTAAAGTGCTGTTTAAAGACTGCCTTGACTTTTTTAGAGTAAAATCTATTGCTTACCACCCCTGTCACATTCAACCAAAGAGAAAAAAAATGGGTAAGTTTTCTTCATCGAGAACCACAAAGAGTAGAGTCAATTAGAACATTCTCCTGGCAAAACTTGAGGGTGGAAGTGAATCAGTCTTGCTTTCAGGCAGGGGATGTGCATGCCTGAATGCTAGCAACAGAACAGCTTTCAAGTTGAAGGTGAGCTAAAGAGTTCAAAAATGGATGCAGTAGATATGAAATAAGAAGAAATTGCTCTGGAATACTCCTATGAGAATATGTTTCAGTATTATGTTAGGCTAAATTATCCCTCCCCACTATTTTATATGTAGAGCTCACCTGCTTCTAAGAATGGCATGAAACTCAGGTGCTCATCTTAAACTAGTTTGTGCTAGAATTGACCAAGATTAACTTCTGTGCAGTACAGTTCACACAGCTGTGTTTAACAACAACTTTTAAAAAGAGATCCCAGACAAAGATATGGATTAAAAAATAAACATGCTTGTAGCTCTAATAGAAACAGTGTGGGCCATATAACAGATAAATACATGGCTTGAGAAACAGGCAGGGTTGCTGAACACTTTCAAGCTGGGTAGCTGTTTCTGTGTTTTTTTCCTGATAGTTACATCTCTGATTAGTGTATCACTTTATGAGTACAGTTCTATGTAATCTTCCAAAGCATTACTGTTTGGAGCATGTACTGTAGGTATGGAAAGCTGAGATTCCTCACCTTCATTCTACAAAACCCCACCAGGCCTCTTTAATCCGTGGCCTAACAGGTGACTGGAATTCATGGTGAACAATTTAGGGGCCATTTTAAAATTTATCAAAAGTTGCAGGATCTAATTACTTGTAGAAAATACACGTTTGACAAGTGCACAGACAGCAACCAAAACCCCATTTTAAAGCGGTTTTTTTAAACTTTTTCTGAGAGACTGTCCTCATTTTATGTTAATTTTTCTATTCAGAAATGTGCTAGTATGTTAACACATTATTTAATCCCACTTGGATATTTTCACCATATATAATCACAGTATTCTGTGATTATTTTTTTAATCTCTGTATGATTTGTACTATAAATCTGATACTGGAAATTTCTGTGTTAGTGCTTTATGGCATTTGAAGATTTTTGTAGCTATTTATAGCTATTTACAGTTACAATGATTTGAAGCTACATAAGGAACTGCATTAAACAGCTTAGACAATTGTTTCCACAGTTGAATCTCAATGACATTTCAAATCAGCAATTTTGTATGCCTAATTGAAAACTTTTTTCCTGAACTTTCCTCCTGTCAATAGATAAATTTATCCTTACAGTTTCCTCTGAGAGAGATGAATGCAACACTTTCCCATTTTACAGATGAGGAAATGCAGACTAAAATCAAGTCACTTGTCCAAGATCAAACAGACAGTTTTTGACAAAACTATGAACTCTAAATCCCAGGATACCAGTGCAGTCATTGGACCACTCTTCAGCATTTAGAGAACTACCCTTTCTGTCAAACATCATCTTTGAGCTTGTTGACTTTTGAAATTACTTGTCCCTTGAAAATGGCAAAGTTGTTTTAAATGCTTTACAATATTGAGAAAATTGTATGTTATTCAATTTTCATCAAAGCTAAATGAAAGCCCTGAAATATGAAAATGACAGCATTTCCCTCTAGTGGCTTTCTCAATATTTTATAGTGTCAGAATGACAATTTTTTTCTTTAGCTCTTTTTCTTTTACTTATTCCTTCCATACAGTCTTTTCTCCCTCACTGAATAAATCAGTTTTTAAATTGCCTTAAAATAAATCTTATTTCTTGAACTCTCACTTTGCACCAAAAAGAAATTAAGAGAAAGAAGAAAGAAAAATTTTATCAATTTTTTTTTACACAACACTTTTGAGTAAATTCATTCCCATACCACATACAGTTTAAAAAAATCCTCTCCCCTCCAACTTTGTGAAGAATAGGGTTCTAACAACAGATCTTTCCATTCCTCTTCTGATTTCATTATTTCTCTGTTCGTTGTTAATCACCATACAAAAGCATTTGAACATCCTTAATGCATCCTAACATTCAGGAAAAAAAATATAATCAATTGACAGAATCAGACTTTTTCAAGAAACTGAAGTTGTAAAACAAAGAAATGAAGAA